ATTTGCTCATTTTATCCTCTCTGCAACTCTAGGAGTTTGGTACTGTTACTGCTCCATTTTACATATGATGCTAATGATAAAATTAGCCCAGAGCTAATAGTTAATAAGTGTCAGCATTTGGGCTTGAACTTAAGTTTCTCTTCTTTTAAAACCAATGTTTTAAATCAGTTACACTACCAGTAGATTTGTTGGGACACCTGCAGACTGCTCATGGAGAGTGAAGACACTATGTAATATAGTTCAGCAACCTAAAACAGACATGATTGAGAAGAAAGTAAGTCATATCTAATGGTCATATGCTGTGGATTAGGTTGGTTATACTATTTCTAGCCATCACTGACATGTAACTACTTCTGAAAAATTGCTTTCCCAATTAATAGTTGTTTTCTCAAAAGTCCTGCCTATTGATCCATTTTCTACAAAGTTTTAGTACTTAATGAAAATTAGAATTTAACTGGAAAGCATTCACATAAATACAAGTAATTAGGAAAATTAAAGTTACAATATCTATTTGTATTTTTTTTATTGAAGTGGGAAGAAAAGTTCGTTTTCCTAACTAATCAATATTTAGAAAAAACAAAGAGGAAATTAAGATAGTATATCAAAAAAGAACATTCTGCTATATGGTTAATTTTTTAACTGAAATAAATCCTCTACTAGTGTCACTGGCTATTACATAGCTATATTTTTTCAATTTTCTTTTAAAACTGTGAGATCAGAATGTTCCTTGGCCGTTATTAAAAGCCTACATCAATAAGCTTTCTTAGGGAATCCTTTACGTAGTGAGTGGAGATTATAATTGGGAGAATACAAATACTCTGTATGCTTGTGGACTCTCCAGAAGGTTGTAAGTATGTTTTTTTTTCCTTTATTCTCCATATTTTTAAAATATTAATCTCTGATGGAGGAAATAAAGGCTGCACTTTGTTTTATACCATGGTTTTCTTTAAATGTTAATCATGGAGAGCATAAAAACTGTATCCTAAATTCTCCATGAAATTAATTTAAAAAATCTCGTTTTGTTAATCCTTTTGTTATGACATAAATAGCATTAATGGAACTTTTCTTTCTTATTTCTTCTTAGTTTATGTTTGATAGACCGTACAGTAGAACACTGGAGGCCGAAGCTGACAAAATTGGACTACAGCTTGCTGCAAAGGTAAAATATTTAGTAGTTGAGAATATATAGTGTCCTTCACATAGTGAAAGATAAATGTGAGTCATCTTAGTGAGGTTTGGCATGGGCAGTGAATGAGAGCTGGACTGTAAACAAGTTTTCATTAATGCCTTTTCAAGTCTGTGCCGTGTGGAAGCTATTGCTATCTTTGCTTTACTACTTCCACTTGTTTTGCTGATCTAAAGAGGCTTTTTGAGTAAGTAAGTTGATGTGTAGCTATTTTTCCCCACTTGGAGAAAGATTTATCCTATAGTAGCTATAATCATGGCTGAGCAAACTGAAGTTTTACCATTTAAATAAACGGTAGAAGAGGCTTATTACTCTATATCTTTCAGATTATTTTTGTTGCAGCCGATGGCTTCTTTCTGCTGTTCCCAGAAAGAAGCACTTCCCAGAAGCACCTCCAGGCCTCTGCCCTGGTTTAGGCTGGCTTTGTTAATGTCGACTTAATAGGGCGCTTCATGCCTGGCTGCTATTTTTAATCACCTGTGATAACTGAGTATTATTAGTAGGATTTAACATTAGAAGTAAAACTGCATTTTTAAAAATGAGTGAAAACAATGCCACTTCACATGTTAAATTCAAATTGTATTTGATTCTTTGTTGAGTTTTCAGTAGTTATTAAAAGTCCTAACTATTGAAAATTACTGTTATGTGAATTTCTCATTATGAGTTATGGATTATGGAGTTATTTATGTATTTAATTTCATAAATCAAGATATTACTTATTCACAAAAGCAGTGCTATTTGAATATTACATAAGCAGGATTAAGTGAATTATCAGACTGTATAGATTAAGAGGTTCCCAGATAATGGGCCATAGATGGGCTCTATCAAGAATTAACTAATGTACTATACAGTCTATGAAATTTTCCCTTTAGGTAAGTGCATTCCGTGTTCTGGTTAAGAAATCTTTACTTATTTCAATAAATATTCCTGTTTTATTTCCAAGAAGTTTTATTTTGTTAAAATAAGAACATGTAAAGAAAATTTCATACTAAAATGTAAGAAAGTGGGCAAGAAAATTTTTTTCCCATGTGGATATGTAATAGACTCAGCACTGTTTATTGAAAAGTTGTCTTTTCTCCACTACACTTCAGTGTCTCTTCATCATAAATGTGGGAGGCTATGTGTCAGTCTGTTTCCGGCCATTCCAGAAAAAAAAAATAGTATATAGATTGGAAAGGAAGCAACAAATCTGTCATTATTCACAGACAACTGTGCATATGTTAAACCTAAAAGAATCTACGCACTATTAGAGTTAAGTGAATTTAGTAAGGTTGCTGGGCATAAAGTCAGTTATAGAAACAAACTATTTCTATACATAAGCAAATTTATTTTTTCAATGACACCTTTTATAATAGCACCAAAAAAAGTCAAACACTTAGCAATAAATCTAAAAAAAATGTGTAAGTTCTATACACAAAAAAATTTTGAAACATCACTGAAAGAAATTAAAGAACATCTAAATAAATGGACAAACATACCGTCCATGGATTGTAAGACTCTGTGCTATTGACATTAGTCAGCTGACACCAGATTGATCTATATTCAGTGTACACAATTCCAATCAAATCCCAAGCATGTTTGTATAGATGGGTAATTTTACAAGCTGATTCTGAAACAGATATGAAAAAGCAAAGGACCAAGAATAGTCAAGTCAATCTTGCAGAACAACATTGAAAGACAGAGACTATCACATATCAAGACTTATTACATAGCTGCAATGACAATGTGGTATTTACCCAAAGATAAATAAAAGGCCAATGGGATCCAACAGGGAGTCCAGTTTGCGACCCCTCTACCACAATTATATTTCTCAAGGTCAGCTTGTCTGCCTATATGTTGTCATATCCCATGCTTACTTTGCCACCTTTATCTTGTTCTTTCCCTTGGTAGCATTTGATACTATTAACTGTACTCCCCTTTAAAAAAATGTGTCTCTTTGTGAGTGTAGCTCCACATTTAATTATAACATAGAAAGTCATTTAGTGTTATAAACTCATAATAGAAAATAACAGCCCTCACTGCCCTCAGCCTTATACCCCAGAGGTGAAAATCATGTTAACGTCTTTTAGCTCATATTTACCTCTGTATTTCTACATAATGCATTTATTTTGTATTTTATTGATTCATTATGTTTAGACATTATTGATTTCTTATTATGAAAGATTTAGTCTGATTGTTTTCTTACTATTGACTTCAGAGTGTTCTTTACATATTCTATATATAGTCATTTGTTAGGTATGTAATTTGAAAATAGTTTTTCTTCATCTGTGGCTCATCTTTTCTTTTTCTTAACAGGGATATTTTTGCAGAGTAAGCATTTTAAATTTTGACAAAATGCAATTTGCAGAATCGCTGAGTAAACTCTGCACCCATTTCTGGGGCAAGCTGCTTTCTGATACCTTGCCCCACCAATTCCAGCCACTCTCACAGCCTTAAACTTCTGTCTTCTAACAAGTTGGCTCAGCCAAGCTCACTATGCTCTGCTTGGGTTCCACCTCCCTGTGTTGTGGTCAGGAGACTGCCCCCGGGCAGAAGGCAGGGGCAACTCTGGGGATCACTCACATGTTTCTCTTCTCTCTGGGATCACAGGCTTATCCTGCCTGCTGTCTAGTACCTGAAGACATGCGCCTCATATTTCTGCTCAGTTTTGTGGTTGTTCATGTTGGGAGGACAGGCCCTGTCCTAGTCACTCTCATGGACGGGAGTGCACATTTCCAAATTTGTGCTTCATGATTTTCTGTCTCTATTTTATAAGAAGGCACTAAGAAACTTTTCACAAGGTCTGTGAAACCAAGTACTGAACCTTTCTGGAGTCCCCATAGTGTGTGTGTGTGTGTGTGTGTGTGTGTGTGTGTGTTGGGGTGTTGTTAATCAGCTGCCAAAGAAGCACTACAGTGTACTGATAACAAGATAGCTCTAAAACCAGACTGCCTAAGGCTGAGAATCTGCTCTGCCCGAGAGAGTACTAGCTCTGTGACCTTGGGCAAGTTTGTCCTTTCTGTACTTCAGGTTTCCTCATCAGTGTGAAAGAAACAGTAATGGGGCCTATATCATAGAGTCACACAGTTAAAGTCCTAAGAGCATGAATCTTCTAATCATTTGTATTCAAATGTTGGCCTGTTACTCTTTCTGTTTCACAAGTATCTCAAACCTAATATATTCAATGTTAAATCTTTGATTTCTCCTTACACCTATTTCTCTTCTAGTCCCCCTTTTTCCAAAATTATACCACCTTCTGTTCAGTTGCTTTTGGAGAAAATCTGGAGTCTTCCTTAATACTTCCCTCTTCTTTATCATTTACACATAATCTTTCACCAAGTCCTGGTAGTTCTGTCCATAAAGTATATCTCATTATGTTTTCATTTTTATTATCAGCATCTTTTACATGGACTTATGCACCAACCTCACTATAGTTTTCATTGACTCAATCATCCTTGCCTGATTTTATCCTCTACCCTGCTGCAAATAAGAGTTAGGTCCAGTGAGCTATGATGCTCACTTTATCAAGGTAAGACTTAGATGGACATGGGCCAGCATCTGCCACCAAATTCTTCCATTTCTGGACTGACTAGCCCCCTACTTCTGATTGACAAATTATTTTTCATATTGGTTAATACAAGCAGTTAGGAGACCAATCTTTGAGGCCCAAGTGTTGCTCTCTTTAAATTGATGTACATAGCTTTTCTCTGATCTGTTGTGTTGATTTTCATTTATTAGTTCAACATGTATTTAGTGTGTGCCTACCATTTACTGGAAAGTAGGGATCACAGTACTTACACAAGTGGTAATTAGCCTGGTGAAGATGCTGACGGCGGTGTTTTTGGCATGGCGGCAGCGATGTTCAAAGGCAAGAGAAATGATGGCCTAGTCCAGGAGTTGAAAATTCTGTATGGCTGAAATGCAGATAGATTTCAAGAGCACTGATGTCAAGTGATAAAACTGGAAGGTAGGTAGAGACTTCTCATTAGCAATTTTAAGGATTTAAGGATTTTTTGTGGTTTGAGCTCTGGTCTCCTCAGCATGACTGTAGGCCAATCAGTTAACCTCTTCAGGTCTGTTTTCTACTCTGAAAAATGGGAATAATGATGGTACCTGTTTCAGAGGTTAATTTGGATATCCACTTGATTCTTATTTGTGGCTTGCGTCCTCTTTTCGGACACTGATGCATCAGACTCCCTTAACTTCTTACCATTTAGTATTCAGATCACATAACAGAACTCTCTTACTCCTAATTTTGTCCTTATTAGGCAGCCTTTTGATTAAGCTTGGCGTCCTCTGTACCATGCCCCTGAGGGAGAGAACATACTGACTTGAGGACACAAGTGCCCTGTACCCTTGTAGTTTGGGTAGTTACACTTGCTGCTGTAAACTAGTACGTTGGCGTTCCGATTTTATGTCAGTCTTGTGAGCTTGGTTAATGGGGGCTGTTCCTGAGAGACAGATCTGTTGCTCGCATGCTGTCCCATTGGATTTATGAGCTTTTAAGGCCAAGGGCTAAACAGAATATGGAAGATTTATTAAAACCAAGTTACTCAAAATAGAGTTTGCCTTCTCTGGAGCACTCTACGTCTGCTCTGCGGTGGGCTGTGAGTGCGCTTATTTTGTATATTTACATTCTTATAGTTGTTTTAATTTTTCGTTTGTATTTATCATTATGTAAATAATCAGAATGACAGATATAAAAGCTGGTAGGACTGAGGTGTGACTTAAGCGCTGAATAACAACTAGCTGTCCAGTTGTCAGCTGACAAAAAGATGTCCTGTGAAATGTTTGATTTTGTTGTGTGTGTATTCATTTGTTACTATAAGGAGAATTTGGCACTTTACAGTCATTTACAGGAATGACTTTTGTTTATTTGACTTCACAGACAGCTAAATCATGCATTATTTTTGAGCATCTGTTTTTTATAATATGAAAAAGCTGATTTTCTTTAAGTGGTTCTACGCTGAGGGACAGCCTCTTAGTAGGGCGCT